GTCTACGGCTTGTGGTTCACGAATGAAATATTTTGCACAGGTAACAGTTACGTACAAATGAAATTACAGCTCGCATTATGCACTATCTGCTGTGATGCAAAATTACCACAGAAATCCCCAAGATGTCGGTAGGCGCATTGTAAACGCTGAAATGCTGAGCTGTTTACTTCGATCCAATAACTGAAGTAAATGGAAAGACTTGTAAAAGTAAATCTATCCTTATTAACAGGCCGTGGAGGTCCATAGGGTTGTGAGACGTCGAGGCTACCACATTTTCTCTAGACAATCGGCTCACAGATGTCTGTGACGATGTCAGTCTTGAGCGCTGGCCGCCCTGAACCCCCCCCCCCAGGTAGATTCCTGGTACTCATTTCCGTTAGACGTGTAGTCGACTCCAGGGCCATAGTGCTGCTGGAAAGATTAGGTGGACTGAAAAACTTAATGACATCATCGGGGTTCGAACCCGCGACCTTCCGGCTTATAACATAGTGCCTTAGCCAACTACGCTACCGCGTGCCTCCCATTGGAAAGACTGTCAAGTTAATATTAACATATACACACAGTCGACTGGTAAGTTTAGAACTACTCTCTGGTATTAAGATGATAAAACTGTAGTTCAAATTGTGAAATACCCCACTAAATTCGTGACAACAAAACAATATGAAGTACATACTGCGAATATACATTATATTTTGCAAGTAATGGAATGCGATTCTCTGCCACTTTATTGATTAAAACGCTGTGCTATTCTTATCCATTTTACTGAAGTCCCATTTATCCTAATCTAGCCCATTTACTACAGTGAAAATTTCCTTCGAATAAAATTCAGCTAAAACGCACAATCAACCACTAATGTAGAATGTGATAGTGTTATTATGGTATTTCAAGCTATATTAAATAGAGTGATGGGCACTGAATGGAATGTGAAAGGGATCTAGTTGAAGATTTCCATCTTCTGGGATATAACGCTGTGTGGTCTGGTGAAAGTAGCTGCTGTGAAAATCTCATGTCCACTATGCGATCTAGTTAAGTTTGCATTCTTTCAAATGCAAACGTATCTTCTTAAGAGGCAACCTCCCCATCACACTGCTACAATTACGCTAATTCGATAGTCAATTAAACCTATTGAAATATATGAGAGTCAACACTGATCACAGATACAGTAGAGTAAAATATAATGCAGAATATGTTGAACAAATCCAGACTGCTTCTTTATTTCAATTTGTAAGACAGATAAATTCACCGGCTAATCCACTTAACATAAATAGTTTTCACTTGTATTACAGATTTCAAAATTTTCTGTGAAAAATTATAATTTCCAGGAAGACAATTATGAAATCTTACTGAAAACAAAATTATGTATATTCCTGTTATTCACAGGTAAAATCACAATTGTGTTTCAAATTCAGTTAAAAGAATACAAAGTGCTTCAGAAGTAATTCTTCGAAAGACTGTGCATTTAAAATTAATCAAGCAATAGTAATATTATAGTTGCATTCATTGCTATATTCTATACTTTTAACGCTAGCATCTTCATACGATGTTACTGTTTGTGTTTAAAGTTTGCATAGACGTACTTCAGTCACAGAATAATCGCTTCTCCTTGACGGATCACAAGCGCAGCCTAATGAATATCTCGTTATACGAAGCAGAAACTATAGACAGTTGCTTGTAAAAGGGTTACTGAATTAGACTGGAACATAGATGATAACTTTGAGATATTTAAACATAAAGGATTTTGATCCTGTGGACCAGAACGTCTACAATCATTTCACCGGAATTGGACCAGAACAGCGTATCTATAGTAATTGCCAATGGTGCATACTTACAGAGAAAAACCAATATATACTTTGTAAAATATTGTAACTCTTGGATAAATCGTATTTAAAATAAACTTACATCACACCGACATGTATGTAGTGTTCAATAAACTAAACAATGAAAGTCAAAGTGCAAATATATGCTCGGCGCTTAATAATGAAAATGTAGACATGCTACGTACTTTAGATTTGTAAGATCTAACATTTGTTATCTAAACTGAGTACCGCCTTGGAAAGTAGATCTGAAACCGGCTTTTTGTTGACTAATAGTAACAATTACAAAGAAGTGAAATGAAAGTTTGGTTTGGGTGACAAAATAGCTGCAACGGGGGTCACGAATTACCGTCAGTGATCGTATAAAATGTGAATATAAAAATAGTTACAACCACATAATGAGACACATAAGGAATTTAGTTTCAGAGAAGCAAATGAAGATTGTATTTCAGGATTTTCAGGGGATAATTTTCTTACTACAATTCCCGCAGGAAAGTTCATCAGTGAAAGAGCTCCCCACCACATCAGACGATGAAGTTTCTTGGAGTACACACTCAACAGATAGGAAAATAAACACGCGGATTCCTGACGAGGTTATAATTAAAATAATGTTACATATTCCTATTCTTCCTTGTCACTTAATGACGATTTGGCAGCGCCATAGCTCAAGCGGTTAGTCGCTGGCTTTCCACAGCGGCGGCCCAGGTTCAATCTCGAGTCTGGTCAAGTGGGATTTGTGGTGGACAAAGTGGCGCTGGGGCGGGTTTTCTCCGAGTATTTCGGTTTCCCCTGCCAACCTTCATTCCATCAAATTCTCCATCATCATAATCACCAGGGGCAGGCTACAATAGGCCAATCAGTGGCCGACGCGCCGAGTGGACCCAGTTGGACTCCACCCCCCACTAAGCGCATTAAAAAAAATAATGACGATTTCAGTTTCTCAGATTATATAGCGACAAATTATAGGGTTCTCAGCAAAAACAGAGAAGAAAGCAGAAGGCATTCACAGCAAAATTTAAGGCACAAGAGAATCACAAATACCGCTGATCAACTGGTCTTTGGGCCCGGTTCTAAATGCAGTGCCTTCCGAATAAAGAACAGGAGTGGTGCTGATCACCCAGTGATATGCGGGGAAAGGAGTGGCAAGACTGACACGGTTCGAGGAAACAAATTGAAGTCCATTTGCATGGTCAAATACAGTATTTGTGAGGGAAGAATGGGACTAAAACTTCTGAAGAATATCTGTAGAAAAAGAAAGCGAAAGAACAGAATAGAGAGGCCAATGCTATGTGTATGCGGAGACAATACTACGAAAGCAAAGAAGTTCATAGAACAGAAAGATTGCTCATGTTCCCCACGAAAATGTTCATGGAGAATATTAACCGAAAATATTTTCACTATTTTGAAAACTGATATTCATAAGCAACTGCTGTATATGTCATGTCATTAGTTTACTTGAAATCGAAACCTACTCAGAGATCGGCTATTGTTTTAGGATATTCAGGAAAAAAATGACTTGCTAATGTGAAGTACAAAATATTGATGTCCGACACATGTAGAAGGCACGGCTCTAATTTAAACACTGCGCTTATATTTTATATATTCTCGTTATTAATCCAAAATTTTTCGAATTATATCACTCAAAGTTGTAAGCAGAGACCATACATGAACAGAAAGAAATAAATTCGTTGATATAAGTTGACTTCTGGATTTCACACCATAATTCTGTCGTTATGATGTTATAAGAATTGATCAGTCTTTTGCGTTCATGCAGGTCAAATGCGAATAAGTGAAAACAGACACACCGACCCAGGGGACGTACGCTCACCAGCTAAAAATTATGTGCTTAGAAATTTCAGAGCGGTTGAGGCAGAGCACCTGCTTGGGCATGCCTTGGATAAACTGATCGGCGACTGTCCTCTGAATGAGAGAAACTGAAGCAGTCCTTGCTAAGGATAGCCACCGATCTGAACAGAGGAATACAAGGATCCGATCAATTTTGAGACAGAGGCATTATTAAGACACAGCACTAACCTTTCGGTGAATGTACGAAACCTGGTGCCAAGAGGAATTAAGCTAGGGACACTGATGAAGTGTGCTTGTGACGTTATTAAGTTAATTTACAAATTAACACGTAATTGTACTAATCAGCATTGTACCGATACATCTGGCGCATCGTTCTATTAAATCTTTACTACATAAAACTTGCATCCTCTTTAGGTTAATTGAATTCCTCGGTCATACAACGAGTTGTATATTCAGATGAAATTTAAAAAGAAGGTAAAGTTGTCCCTGTGCTTAACTAATTAAGCACTATTCTATGAAGACATATGGGGGAGTGGAGGTATAGAGCCATGTTTTCTTGACGTCGCCACTCTTTGGTTGTGAGTGATCAGCTTCACGCCCCGGCCGCTTTACCCTCGAGGAAGGAGCTCCGGTACCCACTGGATAGGAGGCTGGGTGGGCCAGAGAGCCAGTCTGGACGACGCAGAGGAGGAAAAATTCTTCACCCTACCGGGACCCGAACTCCGACTCCTTGATCGTCCAGCCCGTAACCAGTTTCTATACCGACTGCGCTATCCGTACTTCCTGAGTATTTACATATTTATGTTTTATCTTTCAATGGATTGAATTTAATTTTTTTTTAATCGCAAGAACTTCAAAACTGTGGTCAACTGAGAGGTACAGGTATCTGAGGCAGACTTCATAGAGCACAAGATCATGTGGACATCATTTACTGAACTTGCGTATTTTCAAAACATGTAAGTTTCTGTCACTAGCATGTACCTCGACGATGATAACGTACATGAGTTAAAATTCATAAATATTACAGCTAAAATATGGTATCTACTGCACAATAATTATTATTTTTACAAAACTGATTTACCTAAAATAAATTCACTGCAACCAACATATGTAGATATATTTCTTGGGAAAGTGTCATTGATATGCGAAAGGCTAGAAGCATTATCATATCTGTGAATACATTTTAATAACAAGTATATCGAACTAATAAGTTTTCTTGTTTTCTTGAAAGTAATAAAACAGTGAATACGCCATCCTAGTCCCAAACCATCGATTTAAAAACACTTGTATCTAATTACGGCTCTCTCTGCTTATTGATGTACACGGAAAAGCAGTGTATCTGTACATCAAAGTTTCCAATGTAAGGTATTATTCGCTCACCTGTGGGGTTCCCACAGAGTGCCCCAACGAACACGAGGAGACTGCAAATTCGAATGATGCTGAGGTTATTTCGACGTCTTCTCATGTTGACTCTTATGCTAGACACTTCATCATAACTTGCATCACCCTGACACAGTACATCTCACACACTCATTATCATCTTAAAAAATTCGCTCCAATTACGTCAATATATTCCACTATCCATTTCTTTTAGTTACTAGAACTGTAACAAGTGTTCACAAACTTTGTGCAGCTTTCGCTTAAAAACACCAAATTTATCTACAATTTTAAACGATAATAATATAAGTTTAAAGAATTTCGTTTGTAACTTTAGAAAGTCTGACAACAAACAGATTATAGTTCTTAGTTTGTAGTGAGTTTCATATTAGCTACACAGACAAACATCCGCTAGAAGAAAATCTTAATTAATTTAAATGACACATTTTCTTTGCTTCGGACCAGTTCAGCTCGAAAGAATGCAATCTGAACTTTTAGAAGTCAGTAATTTTCAGTTGATAGTTTAAGCAGTAGAAGGATAGGTGGGTAATTTATGAGAGTGAGAGAGATGGAGAGAACACTGTCTCTCAGAGAACACGTCTCGAACTGTAACGATGTTCACTTGCCACAGATCCCGAGGAAACTGAGAAGCGAGGACCGGCGCGGCCCCAACATCAACACTGCTGCCATCTGATGCCGGTCGAGCGAATCGTGCATAGGCCTTCACGGAAACCGCGGTGACGACAATGTCGGGTTGTCTTTGCTCTGTTCAAGCGACCAAACAGGTTAAATCCCCATCCCACGCCAAAGTCAGCTTCGGACGGAAATAGCTAACACAACACTGAGTGGACAAAATTCCCTTTCTAGGCCTTTTCTTACCTCTTACTTCGAAAGTTAGTTTTCGGTATACATATTTTTAATTTTCGTGGAGTTAAAACTTACTTCCGACACCGAAATCGACTCACCTCCAACCTCTACATTCGTTCAATTTCTTGGAGATCTATCAAGATGTTTCACTCGTTATCCTTCGTCAGAATTCCTGGCTACAAATCCAGAAGTCCGGGTTCGATTCCCGGCTTTACCAGATTTTCTGAGAAATAGTGGGTCTGGAAGGGGGTCCATTCAGCCTCTTGAGGATAATTGAGGAGCCATTTCAAGGAAATGGCGACTCCTGTCTAGAAAGCAGAAATTAACCCTCTATCTGCAAAAGTTGGTACTAACTTCGCCGACAAGCAGCGGTCGCTTGGTCGGTATAGTTCGTTTGCGGACTAAAACCACTGAATTTGTTTTTGTTTTTATCCTTTCTAGTTATCCAGCCAATATTTAGTACGTTGAAATTTACCGTGAGAGCCGTGAATGCCTATTCAGATGTTTTTTTTTATTATTGCTAGTGGGGTGGGACTAAGTCCCTTGCACTGCGGCCACTTCTGAATTCAGATGTAAGAAAGAAATTTCTAAGTGGGACGATTTTGTAACCGAAACTAGAAAGTTAAACTTCATACCTTCAATATATTTTGCGATCCTAGAACAAATAAGAGAATAAACTAGCGTGGGAGCGGCTGGCATGATTAATGCAAACTTCTGAGGGAATAATATTTGTTGTGTCTTTATATACTTCACTGTTTGTTTACTGTTCTTATTTCGTAATATTCCTTCTGACTGACATATACTTAGGTTTTAGGCGTCTTATTTCATTAAATGTTAAGGATTTTCTTATAAGAAGTAACCGATAATGACAAACAATCCCGTATCGGGGATCAAGGTTTACATCTACGGGACTTCGAATTGAGCGTCTGACAAGTGTGTGTAATTAGAATGGTGTTAAGAGGAAGTTAACATATGTAATCGAGACAGAATGGAATAAAATGAAAAATATTAGGAAGTCCTATTGCATTACCGTTGTATGTTTTTGCTCAGTTCTTGCACGCAAATTCTGGGAGCATTTGAAAGAGACCAAGAGGAGTTCACATCTTCATAAGCTAGCCCCTAAATTCTAGAGTCATATTATCCTTTCATATTGTTGTAACGAATGTAAAGCAGATTAATGCGGCAAGTCACGAAATACCTTGTTGCTTCCACCTCTTCTCTCTTTTGACAATTAATAATAGTAATTTTTAATTCATCTGTCTGAACCACTAAGAATGGACCACGGTGTACCCCAATTTACATTCAAGAACCCGCTGAAAAAAAAAAATAAGGGACAATTCCATATATTGAGAGTTTATTACCGTATTAGTACCGCTGGCATGTACTGTCTTCGCTCGGTTGGAAACCGGGATCGTCGGTTCTAATCCCACTCAGGGTACGGATGTTTAGTTTGTGTGTGTGCGTTTTTCTGTGTTTGTGTACTGGTAGAGGCCTTGCGACGAGCTGATCACCTGCCCAAGGAGTCCTACCGAATGTGTAAGATCTAGAAAAGCCGAAGTGAACGGAGAAGTTCATGGAGGTAGGCCTAGGCCCACTGGGGCTGTAGTGAAAAGGAAAAATGTAGTACGGCTATTAGAAGCCACACACTATATGTATTTATAGGATGTTCAGATAAAATAAAATTAAAGAATTTCTAATAATTATTAAAAGTGTAACGCACTGATAAGCTTTAGTAAAGTGTCTTCAACAACAGAATCTCAGAAGTTGTGTTTAAACGTGTACAGTTTCTAGTATGGGTTTTCAACTGGAATTTAACTGTAGAATTATTTCAGAGTTACCGTCAGGCAGTGTAATTTAAATTCAGAGAGCACCACCTTCTTGTTAAATACAAGGACAGTCGCGTCTCGCAGGAGAAACATGTTAGTCATAAATGATCAGCTACTAAAGTAGGTCTGTTTTAACACTACGTCCTACCAAGAGAGATCGACAATATTATGCAAATTGCATGTAGCCCAGAAATTTCTATATTTAAGGCATAAAATCTCGTTTGAAGTAATTCTCCTTATATGAAATATTTTGACACGCAATTTAAGGACAAAATTGTTTTTTATTAAATTTATATCTCACTGCCTGTTGTTATTTTGGGGGTTATTCAATTTTTCTGAGGCCAAGTGATTTTACTTCACGTGTGTTTAAGCACTCCATATAGTGGAAAGCGTATTTTATATTCAAGTGTCACGGAAAATTCAAGATAGAAAACATAGCTCCCACGTATTGCGACAGGAAAAATCTTTCTCTTGAAAAAAAAAGTGGCGAAATTAAGATTTAAATAAATGCTCCTATAATTGCGAAATGCTTAAAGATTTCGCATAAACTGCAAAAGCTATTTTATGACAATTTACCTGCATGGCTATGAATGGAAAATAGTGAAATACACGTATGTAAGATGCTTTCTCGGCGATTACCAGAAAAGACAGAGTGAAAGTCTGTGACAGGCTTCGTGGCTCAGATGCGAAGTACGTATATCCCTAACACAAGTCTCAAACATCGGACCATATCCCTGAACTAATCTGCTTAGTGACACTGTCAGTATTTCTTCGTTCAGAAACGTCTAGAACTGAGTGAATTTCACATTCTTTTTACCGTGCAGTTTCCCTCTCCAGGTGGAAGAATGCATTGAACGGATTTTCAGACAATATAAAATTCAATATATTCTTAGCTATTTCGGTGGACGTATTTCTCCAATGCCGAACATATTAAAATACTCGTATAAAGGAAATTTCATCGTCCATAACCGAAGACTATACTCTTCGTGTTTATTTGGATGTGACTGAAGATTTTTCCTAAAAATCCTAATCAGAAGGTCTGTATGGGGATTTATTTCATTATAAATTAAAATGTTTCGACATATAAGTCCCTTCGTCTTATGTAGGACCAACTTTGTGAAAAATAACTGTGTAAGCATTGATGCTGATCGCCAAAGTATTCATGAATCCCTCGGAGGCATGGGATATACTCAGAAATTTGGTACTGTTGACATCACTTCATAAAGCTGCAATGGGGACTAATTCTAGAATCGCTTAATTCTAAATGTGCATAAGAGAATTAAAATTCTTAACGTTTTATAGAGTAAGATTGTCAACTGATATACTGGACAGAAGGTTACAAGATTAATCCCATGTTTAGATAAGACATATTAGAAAACAGAACATGCAAATTCCATACATGGATTTGAGTACCAAAGAACTGCACAATTATACCATTTGATATTTTAAATGATCAATTTTTATTTGGCCGAGAGAGACTTTAACATAATAAAGCAAATATCATTCCAAAGTGTTTAGTTACGTTGGGCTAAAATGACAGGTTACGAGCTGGGCAACTGAAATAAATGAGATTATAAACATGCCCGTCGCGTTCAGGTCGGCTCTGGACGCATTTAGCCTTATATATAACGGACTTCGGGTGGTCTTTCCTCCAGTATTGAGCTCCTGAAGAACGAATATGCAAACTCACCTCCGTCTTGTCTAAAGTTTAGGAACGCGTGAACCAACCTTTATCACTATAACTCTTCAAAGAACGTTGGTAACTATATGCATCACCTGCCCTCACATTTAAATTCTCTGCATTCTGAACACATATTTATGTATTTCGTCAGATTCTCGGAATATATTAATATTGTTTCCCTAAGCAGCCTGAACGAACTGATCTTTGTGATGGAAAATGTGTTTTTGATGTAGAAAACTAATCCTTAATTATTATTTAGATGAAATTCAAGCTCCAAATTGTTACTAAATTACAATTTTTTCAGTAGATCTTAAAATGTTTCCAAGTGAACTCCATTTACGTCTTTATAGGCCCCATAAACGTAACAGTTTGTATCACTCTGCGAGTTGTGTACGGTTTCACAGAGGTCTATGTGCTGCAGTCGAGGCTTGTGGCGTTGGTGCCTTTGTGTAGGCAGAGAGGAATTCATTGACCACTACTGCATGGACTATAGGCTACACGCGGTGCAGAATAGCAAAAGGTAAATTTGTCGCATTGCTTAATCAAGTACTGCTATAGAACGGAATGCGAGGAAGTGGAGGTACACTTCCACAGCTTTCTAACCTCGGAACTAGATCGTCGTGATGGTTAAATTCCCACTTTAACCACTTTACTCCTATGAAAATTGTTCCTACCTATGCAGGGCACAGCGGACTGCAAGTCGAACGCCTGTTTCTGAGCCTGTACCTATTCACTGTACTGACTGAGCTACCCCTGCTCATAAGGCACACAATAGTTCTGCTTAATATGCAATAGCATAGTTTATATTATATCTAAGAATTATATATCAACTTCCGTGGATGATGAAGACCTCAGATTCCATCCCAAAACAATAACTGATTTTCAAAATTTCGTTAGATTCCTAGAATGGGGGATCGGCGCTGTACTTTCACAGGATGACACAGATCATAAAAATCGGCGGTATACATCCATCTCCAAGTTGGTCCAAGCGGCAAAGTTATGACTTCTGTTCGGGACACTTAATAATCTGACAGTGATTTTTCTCAGTTGCTTCATACAAATGTGAAGACGGAACCTTAAATTAAGCTGATAACCGCATATTTCACATTTATTCCAATCCACTATTTACTTATGATCCTATCATTCGATGCCATATAGTACTAGCCACTAATAACGCTGTGCCGGTCACGGTAGCCGAGCGGTCTAAGGCATTTACTGTCTTCGCTCGCTTGGAAACCAGGACCGTGGGTTC